GATCAAATGCTCAAGAACCTTGGCAACAATGAACGGAGACAGCTTGGCGGCAGGGCGTTGATTGTCTTCAGAGTGAACTACAAAAAACTTAACAAAGTGTTCTGATTCTGGTGCTTTGGCGATGACTTGTTCCGGACAGGGCCGTTTGGATGCCTGCCTGGAACCGGGTTTAGAGAGAGAGGGAGCCATAAGAGGCGGAAAGTGTTCAGAACCTGTGGTGTGCCGCCCACCACGGAGCCCAACAAGGGAATAGTTAACGGACCATAACAAAAAGGGCTTTGCTGGAACCGTTAGACTATTAGCACTGCCCAGGTACTATAACCAAGTGTGGTTTTGGACGAGGAGTCTGTCGCCACCCAAGGTTAGCCCTTGCCGCCAAAGGAAATGAAAAAAGGAAAGAAGAGAAAATGAGAAGAGTGAAAAGAAGGAGAAGACAAAGGTAAAAGAAGGGAGGGGATAGTAGAAGTGGCGACTGACTGAATCATCCTGGTCGGGCCAAGCCAGGACACCCGTCTACGGGAAGCGGGGGCCGAAGCGGTGTATTGCCTCACCCGGGGGGCCCCGAAGGGTCCAAACCTACCCCGGGTTCGACTCAACCACCAGGATGCCCTTTTCCCCGGACACGGGAAAGCCACGCACAGCCAGACGTGGGCGGGCGAACCCGCATGGCTCGGGGTCCGTGGAGACGCCACTCTCCAAACACCTGTTTTCACAGGTGCCCCCTGCGGGGAAAGGACTTCCTTGGCCTGCTCTGGACTGCGCTCTCGGGACGGTGTCGACAGGGTGAGCCTTTCATCTGACCTTCTCGGCGCGGGGGTTTTGGGGACAGTGTGTCTTTTGGTGTTCCAATAAACATTGTTGGACCCAGTCCTATTGTGGCACGTGCTCCTCCTTTTTAGAGAAGTGATCAGTTGTGCGACTGACGTTCGGACTCGCCCGTAGCGGTGTTCTCGAGAGAAAGCTGCGGGGTGTGGGAGTAGGCTTGGCGTCTCCCGATTAGAGACCGCCGCGGAACCCTTCGGTTACCACCACCCGTGACCATCCCACAATCTAGACCAGCGCACTGCTCGGCAAATGCAAACGCGTCCCCTACCCCAGACGATGAATCAGCACAGTCATCACCAATCCACCCGACGTCCGACGCGTTCCCTATGCTTGACGATGAGGCACCCAGCAGCCGGACTCAAGACAAGCCTCACATCGTGTTGCAACGTGGTGTGCATGAACGACGTCCCCCGGACCGGTTTCAACACAAAGACTCCCGAAATTTATAAAAATGTAAGTATGGAGGAGTGTCCTAGTGCAAACATCTTATCAAGTAGATGAGTGCACACGGCTCTCTGTGACGTCACTCCTAAAGGATATAAAAACAAGTGATTGTTGTCAACAAATGTTTTTTTGGGTGCGATCAGCTCGGACCGAGGTCGCTTACCTGCGTTATCTCAGTTTTTATGCTCAGTTTTAGGGCTCAGTAGGCACTTGCACAGTGGTGCTGCTTGCATGCAGTATTATTAACCCTGGAATATATTTATGAAATTCAACCTGCAGTTTTTCGGTTGCAGATGCCACATTTAGGCAGTGTAATAGCATCCGAGGTCTGTGACATCACGGAGAAAGCTTTTAAAATGAAAATGTGTGTGCGGTGTAAAGATGAAACTTAGCTTTTTTTTGTTTTATTTCTTCTTTTTTTTTTTGTCCCTTCGTCCTTAAATATTGGTTGTTTATAAAACATACATTGGCACTGTTGCAAAATGACAAGAGATATTTTGATTCAGTATCACTTTAAAAGTAACGCCATTCGTCAAATATATTAGAGGCTGCACCGTGGATTGCATGTATTCATTATATCTTTTTCTTTTAATTACTTATTACGCAGAAAACCTGGCAGGCAAGTCTACGGTACAAGAGAAAGAATGTAAGAAGGTTGCCACCTGGGAATGTTGAAGTAGACAAGGCCCAAGAAGAAGCTCGTATCCAAAAGGAAATGAGGTCCCTTGAAGCCGTGGACCAGAGGGAGGAACGCACAGAAAGAATGGCAAGTGCAGCGATTGTGAAATGGCGCCCAAGTTTCACTTAAATGTAAGGTTTAGAATATTTGAGAACAAGTTCTTCAACTTGGATGATTAGGCAGATGGGTAGCTACTAGTACAAAAACAATAAAGACGCATATGAGAAGGGCATCTTTCATAGCCTCATTTGCTGTAAAACGTGGATACAGAAATTATAACTAGTTAAGTATTTTCATTAGTGTGAAAGAGCCTCTGTAATTAAACTTGTGCCAAAATGGTGCACGTCTCCAAACCATATTTCAAAGTTGATGAAGACGAGTAAAGCATCAATGATTACTCGACCAAGAAAGCTTTCTGGGACCAGGAGAAAGTGCAGGACGCAATGGATCACTCATTTGACCTTATCAGAGGTGTATTCACAGGTGCATTTAAGCTTGTGGAATTTCAAGGCATATTTCTGATCCTGGAATAAGTTAGGACAACATTCGTCACAATTTCAAAGATGTTGCCGCCATAGCCGATCAAGCTGGCCACCGGCGAATACTGTTGTATGCATAGGATTACATGAAACAAGACTAAGCCTAGCTTTTCACAGGAACAAAGCTATGCCTTGAAATTTTATAACGTTAAATACATCTATAAGGTACAGCTGCAACGGAAAAAGAGTAGCACAAGTGACCGACGGCCGGAGCGGCAAAATGGCAACACGCGGCGCTATTCTTTCCGTGCACGCCGATAGCGAGAGTGCCAGTCACGTTCCATGTCTCAATGCGGGGGTGGCCGACAGAAAGCAGCCCATCTTAAAGCCCGCATTTTGAAAGCTATTTTATCCTTTAATTTTCTGCCAGCCAGGGTGTTCACAGGCTGCTGGTTGTGTACTTCAGCGTGCTGAATATTCATGCCCGATACAAGTTGCAACTCCGCACTACCCACGTAACACTTATCGCACAGTACAAACTCGTCATGGACCATGGAATTGATGCCATCTTGCAACCGCTTTTAGTTAATGTGTTCGATTTGGAACGGAATGGCTTCACACTCGGTAAATACGTTACCTGTAAGAGTCACTGCTGTCGTCGTCACACTCACTGGTGACAACCTGTCGATAAATTGGCTAGATAGGTTCACCTGTTGTTTCAGCAGATGGCGTCCATGCCGATATTGCACCATGCCAGTCTCGAAGTTCAGCACCATTTTTTGGGCAAAGTTTCTCCGTGCACCGTTTTATTTTTGAATAAACAAAGCAAGTTGTCTACAGAGTGGCAAAAAGCAGGGCATCAAAGTGGTACCTACAAGCAGCTGCATTTGAAACCTTGCATTGTTTCTTGACCACAGCTGCTCGATTCCTTACAATGTCCATAGACGACAGCAGGCACGAAGAATGCATGCAACTATTTTCATGCAAAAGCTACCCTATTTATATTTTAAACAAATTGGTTATCGCTAATCTTAAAGACTATTTAGTCATTTCCAATCAAGTCCCAATGCAATTCATTCCAATCTTACCTGTTTTATTAGGTGTTAGGCTCGTCCAAAGAATTGCATTTTCTGTGCGTCCCCCAAAGACCAAAAGGGATTGATGGTAATATAATCCAACTGCCAAGGAGCTGCAGTGTGATCAAAATTAAACATTTTACTATCGCACAATCGCAATCTAAAATGAAATTATTGAGGTTGCGCTACGATTTTTAAATGTTTCTGGAAAATGTGGCAATAACCCCTGTTTAACCCTTTCCCGCCCGACGAGACAGATATGTCCCAAAAGTTTGTGATTTTTTATTATCTCCTGCATGCTCCATATCCCGGCCAAAACCTGTCGGGACACTGGTGGCATTGGCTGCATTTCCAAATCGTACCGTTTTGGCGCCGCGATCGCGCGAACACAATTTTCAAGATGGCTGAAGGCGTGTTTGCGCGGGCTCTTTGATTCTTGAAACGAAAGTCATCCAAAACGTAAGTCATTTTTATTCTACATTAGTGCGCGACCATATGTGCATTCACTAATAGCTTCTGAGGCAGCACGTATAAATATAGAGCGCCGCCCGGCTAAATTTTTTCAATTAGGCAAATGTTTGTTCTCTGGGACATTCATGTCCCGTCAGTACTACAAGACAAAAATGAAACGCGCTGCAGCGTTTTTCACGCCCTGAAAAAGCTTGTTTTGTTTGCTTAGTTTAGGCTTCAAATTAGGCTAATGTTACTTTGTTCAACGTTTGACGGATATTTGAATAAATATTGCTATTACTAAATACTACTACTCGTTATTTTTTCAGCATGGCAGCAGGTGGAAGTTCACTTAGCCGCGATGAAATCGACAAGCTCCTATCTGAAGACCTACCTTGCGATTATTCAGCTGATACGGATATCGAGTCTGATTTTGATGACCTGGATAGGGAACTAGGAAAGACTAACTGCCCACGTGATCTGCAAGAGTTGCTTGACCAAGTAGGTCTGGTCGACGCCTCAGAGCCAGGGACGGACTACAACCAAGCAGAATCGCACAGCACAGGCGGAGTCATTAACAACCCAGCCTCTGAAGACTTGTGTGTAAGTCCAGAAGAAGTAGCCGCTGTCTCTGCGTTTTCCTTTCGTCAGAAACGCTACGAGTGGCGTCGAAGGCAGCACGTGACTAAGAGACCGGAGTTCAAGGAACAGGAAGGGGCTTCCAAAGACGTGTTCTGTGGTTGCTCAACACCAGTGGAATTTTTTCTAGCTCTGCTTCACGTGCCACTGCAAGAGGAAATATCTTTTCAAAGCAACCTCTATGCCACGCAAAAGGGCATTGACCTCCAGCTGTCAACTACAGAGCTGCTTGGCTTCCTGGGCATCAATTTCTTGATGGTATATCATCAACTTCCCTCTTGGAGGGACTACTGGTCAGGTTCCCCAGACCTTGGGGTGCCAATGGTTTTAAGAACTATGTCGAGAGAGAGGTTCTCCAGGATACTTTCGAACTTGCACCTAAATGATAATTCACTGTTATCCAGTCAGTGCAACGACAAGCTCTACAAGTTGAGGCCACTGATAGATGGGCTGAATAGGCAGTTTCAACTAGCCTATGGTCCGAGACGAGAGGACTGCGTCGACGAATCCATCATACTCTTCAAAGGAAGGTCATCAATGAAGCAGTATAACCTCATGAAACCGATCAAACGCGGCTACAAGATTTGGTGCTTGGGAGACATGTCGGGCTTCATCCAGACCTTCCAGGTGTATCAAGGAAAGCAAGTAGAAACATCTGAACTTCAGTCTGAATTTGGGTTGGGGGGACGTGTGGTTCTTGACCTTTCTTCATCGATCCTAGGAAAGGGCTACACGCTTTTTTTCGACAACTACTTCTCCTCCGTGCCACTGATGGCGAAGTTGAAAATGGAAAAAACATGTGCCTGTGCCACAATACAGAGCAACCGAAGGCAGCTTCCAGAACTTCGCTTTGACAAGAGCTTGACACGGGGAAAGTATGACTTCAAAACGACCGAGGAAGGAATAACTCTCTTCAAATGGAAAGATAACAAGGTAGTCTACATTATTTCGAACTACCATGGCTGTGAAGTGGGAACTGTAGAAAGAATGGAGCGAGACGGCACAAAAATAACGGTCTCGTGCCCGACTGCGCTCTCGGACTACAACATGTTCATGGGAGGTATTGACAAGGCGGACATGCTACGGAGTATATTTGGAACCGACAGAAAATCGAAGAAAGGGTGGCACCGTTTGTTTTTTGGTTTCCTGGACATATGTCTTGTAAACAGCTATGTCGCCTACTGTGAGTTCAACGAAAAGATCCCCTACCTGGACTGCGCTCCGTTGTGATGGGACTCCTCACCATGGGACAGTCGTCTAGTCGAAAAAGACATTCAGATAGCAAAGCCGGTGGACAGTGTCTCAAGCGGCGCAAATCCTCCTACTCAGTGTGTGCAGATGTGCGAAGGAGTAGTCTCGGCTCACATTGGCCTGTTTTTGGAGAAAAACATGGAAGGTGCGAGGTCTGTGCACAGCGCAAGCAAGAATCACGGCCTTTCAGCAAATGCACCTGTTGCAGAGTGTTTCTCTGCATATCTAAAGAAAGGAATTGCTTTGCAGCTTTTCACGAGATTTCCTAACAACCTCGTGTTTCTTATAGGCCAGTAGTACTGACGGGACACACATGTCCCAACTCACAAAAACTGTTCTGTTCAATAAATATTTTTTTTGCTTATGGGTTTCTTCAAATAGAGCCATTCCTATTATTTATTGAAAGTTTTACTACTCTGGGCAAATGTTAAGTAGGGTCAGGCAGCAAAGGGTTAAGTTACAAACAAGGTATATTTCCAAGAAAAGTTTAAGAAATTACTTTAAAACCGCCCGTCACATCACACGAGCTTGCACGCGTATCTCATTATTTAAGTTCAGTTCTGCTTCTCCTAGTGCTTTCAAAAAGTCATGATATTGTAAGTTCACTAATGTCCTGCGCAGATGGATCTTACACTTGAAATATAAAATTCTTAAAAAACAGTTTTTCAACTTCACGACTGACTTGCGCATACGTAATTAAAGATGCTTGCATGAACGATGCCAGCCACAAATCGATCACTCAAATCGACAATTAAAATAACACTCTGCTGTAAACACTTCATTTGCTGAGTAGCCTGATGGTTAAAAATTTGTTATCACCTTTGGTCATTACTTGGTTTTCGCACGAGCAAAGGCAATGCTAGACGCGCGAGCCCAGAGCTCTGTACCTTCTGTACAGTGCGTTCCTCTTTTGCAATGCACACCTCGTTCATTTCTTCAGGTGATCTTCACGCGTGTATAGCTTCATCTATGATCCTAGCTCGGACATAAGATAAAAAGTATAAAAACGTCGTAACTTGTAGATTCTAATTGATTAAAAAAAGGATAACATAAATACACAGTTTCCGCGTTAATCACCTGTGCGACCTCAAGCACAAGGACCTTGAGGCACTCTCTGTTGGGTTCTTCCTCCCCCGCGGAATCATCCTTGTGAGTTGCATTCATTGCACGCCCTCTTCAAGAGAAAAGGCCTACCAACTCCTCGACAGGTCCCTGAGGCTGCTGCTTCAAACCCCTACGTGAACACCCTCATCTTTGGCGACTTCAACTCCCACGTGGACTGGTGCTCCCACAATGTTCCTGTCCCCCGTGACAACACGGACTATATTCTCAAGACCAGGACTGCTGCGGGCCTGGTCCAAGTCAGCAGCCGTCGTATACATCCCGCGAGGGCGCATAGAGTTTGCTTGACCTTGTCTTCACATCCCACACAACATGCACAGAGTCTGAGGACACTTCCGAACGCCTCCACGGCAGCGATCATCTGGCCGTGGAGCTATGCTATGCAGTCTCCCAGCCCTGTACTGGGCATTATGCTTGTAAGCTGTGGGGGTTCCGGCAGCTCGACTTTGGACACATGGCTCAGCTGGCCCACCTGACACCATGGTGCATGACCACCACCGGTTCAGACTGGTCATTGAATTACAATCTCTGGTGCGACTTCATGTTTTCTATCCACAAGGAATCTGTGCCCTGCTCCACACACTCATCGAAACGAAAACACCTGCCATGGATCATGCCCGACATCAAGGCAGCACGAACCAAGCAGATATAGTTTCGAAAGGCACGCCGATCTCATTGCCCAGCCACCCTACGATTGGCAAAGGAGCACCAGTGGTCACTGAAGGCGGCTATCTACGTCTCCCACTAGCAGCATGTTTGCGACACTGCAGAAAGAGCCAAGGCCAATCCAAAGGTCTTCTGGACCTTCATTTGTCACCTGCGTCTTACGTCACAGCAACCGAGTTTATCAGTGGTCGTGCAGCTAACTCCCCACAAGAGATATCCAACCTCTTTGCTGACAACTTTGCTTCTATTAACAACAGTCCGCCTCTGAGTTCCTTGGGAATCACAGTGCCAAATGTATGTCGACTTGAACTATCTGCACCACAACCCCTGCCTGTGTATGCACATGACGTTCGACCAGAACTTTCCAGGGTACTGTTTTCGGACAAAACATTGCAGAAGGCACTCGCCAAAATCAATAACTCTTGCAGTCCTGGGGCAGATGGCATTGTTCCCATTTGGTTCAAGTTGATTTGCTCACCTGTTCTACCAACCACATCAAAGCTGCTTCATGGTCTACTAGACAGTGGGGTCGTTCCAGAAGGGTGGCAAGAAGTGCTGGTCACTTCACTCCACAAGGAAAAGGAGAGACCAGTGGATGAGTCAAGGCACTACCGTCCAATTTCAATCACCTCAATTGCTGCCGGACATTTAAGAGGGTAGTTAACGCCCAACTTTTAAACTATCTCAAAGAATCAAACCACCTTCCGGACAGTCAACATGGCTTTCGTAAGGGCCATAGCTGTGAAACTGCCTTCTCAACCATTACACATTTCATCAGTGACGACATGAACAACGAAGGCACTTCGGACTTAATACAACTCGACCTTAGCAGCGTTTTGACATCCTGAACATTCAACTTCTGCTGGAAAAGCTCACCCACACTGGGGTGCAGTGCGGGTGAGCTACATCATTGGCTGCCACATCTGCAGCAACCCCTCGACCTGTGCCCCACTAACCAAACTGCTCAGGCCCTGGGAACATGCCAATTCCTGTCAATGATAAGCTCATGCAGATAGCCAAGCATGGGTGTAATCAACTTTCAGAAAGTGGTTTTGGCAGGCATAGGAAGGCTACCACACCAGTGGTGCAAGTGCATTCAGCTCCAAGAAGAATGTGTTGCAAGAGTGACCTATCTGCTGAACTCTAGGTGACTGTTATCCACAGCAAAATATAAATGGCCACACATTTTATAACACCTTTCGTATAGGCATTTAGAAATAGAGACGAGTGCACATGTGTGTTCTCCTTTTAAAAAATTAGGAAAGATTTCAGTCAGTGTAGTGTAGTGCATATACATTATTTCTTTACAAGGTAACATGCATCATCGCAGGGCTGGGTTCCACACAGCTTCAAAACAGTAGATGGCAACTGCTGCAGATTAACAATGACCATACTCCCCTGACAAAGAAACAAACAATACAAGGTATTAAAATATCACAGCATGATTTCTGTCAAGGAATATAATAGCAAGCACTCCAAAAGGTGGAAATGGCTAAGCCATTCAGTGATCTAGTGGCATAGTTCATGCCTTAGGTTCAAAATGGATGAAAATATTGTTGCACATAAGATCAGCAATAAAAAAAATGCAAAAACATTTTAAATTGCAACTGCAGGCAAAACAAAAATACAATCTCAAACTTTCAGGAACCTGGAAAGCTTTTTACTTTGCGAAATCAAACCTCATTGAGGTTTGGAACATTTGGAACACTTTCGACTCTTTAGGTATATCCCATTGCTCACTTCATAACTTTTACATGTCCTTGCCATTGCAGCTTGCAGGTTCACCAGCTGGGCCTGCCTCAGATGTCAGTACACCACCGTCAAAAGCTGCTGCCAGTATCACGGATAGACCCACAGCAGCCTCAGCAGCTTGTGCAAGCCTGAGTAGCCAGACATGTGCTGCAGAGTCACCAGCTTCTATACCTGCGGCTGCTGCAGCGTGCAACAGTGGTGCAGCTGTGGGCAGCAGCTGTTGGCAGTGTGGCCCGCCAGGTTGGAGGACGCATGGCGCTCCTGGAAAGGAGCCTTGCAGACGAAACAGATGTGTGGATGGCCTTCGTCCAGCAGGAACATGCCCTGCACTGCAACTTTCTTGAGAAGGACCACCGTGACGCACTCGGCAAGAGGGCCGCACTTCATGAAATGGAAATGAAGTTGCGTGAGGACCAGTTGAAAAAGAGAAATGCAGTTCACGAAATGAAGACGAAGCTCTTCAGTATCAAAGAAAAGATACTACTGTGGGAGCTGAGCCAGAAGGCTGGAGAAATAGTCATGTTCAAACTGCTATCCCTCTTCACTGATGGTTCACTTTGAGAGTCAAACTGAAGTATCACACACTTGGAAGTGACTTCTCAGCTGCATGGCCTGCATGATGGGCCTCTTGAGCCTACTTGCAGCTCATGTGAAGCTCAGCCGAATGATGTTGTCAGGTAAGCACACCCAAAAGAGAGTCCTCCGGGAGAATAGGTGGCAGGTGCAACTGTCACCGCCTTCGGCCATTCCACGCCCTGGGCTTGGCGGCGAGGGTGGAGGAGCAGATAGGAACTCATTCCTTGCATGCCCCAGATTATGAAAAGCTGCACACGCGGTGATGATGCTACATGAGTGGCGTGCCTTGTGCTAAAGCCGCACCTCCAAACGCGGAAAACGTCTCTTCCAAACCCCAGAGGCCCTCTCGACGGAGTTCCTTGTTCAGATCTGCGCCTTGTTGTACCTGAATTGAATTATAAGGCATGTGATTGATTTCTAGGCTTCTGGGAACATACTTGCATTCACTGTATTTTGTAAAGCCTCCTTGCTGGCTCGGCTTTCTCAACACTATTTTTTTTCTTTCCATCAGACTAGATTTACCCAAAAACTGTTTGCTTTTGCTTGCAAAAAAAAAAGATATAACATTTTTGGTTAACTGTTTTACCCACTGACTGTTATCAGTTAAGCATCAAGCACTACTTTTACAGTAGGCCCACAGCCAGGTATTTTTTTAAAACGATTTCTGGCAATCGCTACTTTCACATTTGGATTTTGATAGGATGAGTGTGCCTGCTTATATGCACATTGTTTTTGTTTTTTTCAGTATGGCAATAACAGGTCCATATCATTTTGTCTAAGTTACTAAGTAAAAAACGTTTTGTTGACAACTTGTCGTGCATGCACGCTTTCATTGACACTGTTGACGTTTCATGGAAACGTTT